TGAACTGTTATAAAATACCGGGGTTTGGGCTTTTTTCCGAGAGTTGATAAGTTGCAAAGTATCTTTGCAAGTTGCCAAGTATCTTTAGCCGGCACCTACGTACGCACAGACCACTTGGAGAAACAAGCCCTTGGTTCTCAGCGTGACAAGACCGTACTTATAAACTATGAAACATGAAATAACTATGACATCACCCACACTGGGCAAACCCCATTTTCGTCTGCAGTGGCAGTAGGCAGCCAGACGTCACTCTGTCACCTCCCAGCACAGAGTCAGGACCTTGCTGTTCATCAGACACCCGCCTCCCCTCTTCCCTCTCCCAGGATTAGCGCTTCAGCGGAGCCCAACAGCCAGCAAGACCCTGCTTCACAGGGACGGCAGCAAAGACTAGGGATGGGTAGCAAAGGCCTTACTGCCGCAGTTTTCTTTGAGAAACCTCACTAATTCCAGAGTCAGCTTTGAAACAATTAACAGTACAAAGAGCAGAGTCACTTAAATAACACCTGGGCCATTCAGTGCTTACACAGGGTGAAGAGCTGAAGGGTTTCCGAGTGCTTGCGGGGCCAGCTTGCTTTGCAAGCCCGAGGCGGCTCAGCAGAGCCCACGGGTGACAAAGGTTAACCCAACCGTCACTTCAGCACCACCGCGGGAGCCTGCTCCTGCTGCATCTCCTGCATGCAAAGGGAACGTTCATCTGGGCTGCGGCTCTGCGGCCTGCAGAGCCTCCTCGTGCAGGAAAGGTCAGGTCTGGTGGCTGCCGATTCCTTCTAACAGCTTGCATAAAAAGCTCCGTCTTTGGAAAAACCAGTTTCCCAGTTTAAAACCAAACTGAAGTCTTAGACTAAGCTGGTTTGGAGTGACACAGGGCTCTGTTTGGGTTGCAGCTCGAGAGCTGCCGGCCCTGCCCGCGTTACCAGGGCTGGCGGCTGCTCTTTGCTTCGTAGGAGCCTGACCCTGCCCTGCCAGTTCGTGGTTTCGGTTTTGCAGCAGCAGATCCCGGCTGGGGAGGGAGCAGTTTGCCCAGCTGGATTTCCTCTTTAAAAAAACACAAACAAAAAACCTCCACCCTACACAAACGCTTCGGGATAGCGAAGTTTCCCACCTCTTTTTTCCCCGAAGAGATCCAGTTAAGGAGCAATATGTGATCCTCCACAGCTTCTCGCTCTCTTGCACAGCACAGCAACGTAATTTTCAGTACAGAGTCTACGCTACATGCTGTGCCATTCGCCTTTAATACACAACACGTTCACAAGAGAGGAAAACGCGGAGACTTAGCTCTGGACTGGCAGTAAGTCACAGCAGATAGCCCTCGCCTCAGATGACCACGGCTCCTAGATATACTAACGCAGAACTCGTGCACCGAACCACAGCACCTCGCTCAGACGAAGGGAATCAAGAGCTCTTTCTTCTGGGCCTGGATAAACAGGGAGAGGATTAAACAGTAGAAATGAACACGCTTAACTGCAATAATCATGCTGGTAAGAGAAGAAACCCTCGTTTTGAAAGAAAAATGGCATACTACTATTTGCATTCAAGCCAAAACCTTTCCCTTGGTTTCACCCAACCATGGCTAAGAGTAGTTTTTATGGTGCAAAACGTATCATCAAGCTACTAAAAATATCAGGGAATTTACCAGAATAGCTTAGTCGATGCCTTTTGAAAAAGGTATATGATTCCTTCCCAGTGGCCCATTTTACTCAAATAAGCCACAGAAAAAATTGTATAAAAAGATTTATTGAAATTCATCAATGACAAACAGACATAAAACTCAAAGTTTGGCTCTTCTGGGAAAAAAAACTGTTGCAAATGTATTTATACAGATGAAATATTGACTAGGAAATACAAGTCACTTCTAAAGCTATTTAAAGAGGGATATGAAAGTAAAACTGTACATTCACTAGGTATTTTCAGTCATTTTACTGACTTCCACTAGGTAAGAAAATACAATTTTGTATTAGTATCTCGTGCTTGAGTGTATGAAAAGAAACCTCCTACCCTACATGCTGAACTGCCTCCTGTATTTAGGTTTGTAAAAATTTTCAAAGTATATAGCACAAGTGGAAGTAGTTTCTCATCACTTAAAATTGACTAGGTGTTATATATTACAGACCAAAATAGTACACACCTTATTTAAAAGGGTTGAAACATTTTTTTATTACAATTGTCAAATTCATTTCACTAGTAACTCAGGAATTAGGAACACTTTTTATATATATTTATATATATATTTAAATGCCTGCCATTTTCAGTGTATTGGCTATACCCTAGCCAAAAAAACCCAAAAACAAACAGAAAGGAAAACACACAACACACAGGGCGGGGAAGGGGGGGGACTGCAAATTCACCCCACAAACCAGATCCAAAGGAACACCCCAAAAAAACCAACAAAAACATTTGGTCACTATTTACAAACAGCAAAAATAAAAGGTACCTACAAAAGCAGGGAAAGCATTGGCTGAAAATGGCAGTCATTCACGGACAGGCAACAAATAAATCACTTTATCAATATGCCATTCTCACACCTGTTGCTGTGGAGGGATGCTTTGCCCAGATTTGCAGCATCCCCCAAAAAACGCTTACAATGTAGTTAGTGACTGGCAGCGGTGGAAGAATCCCAACAACCAATGCTATTCAGCTGTCTCAGAACAGAGTATCTGTATTTGGGGTATCATCCACTGATCTTACACTTTTTTGTCTTTTTTCTTTTTTTTTTTTTTTTTTAAAAGATGTCAAACTATCCACTCCAATAATAAGAAACAAATTACCACTTGGTTTATACTTACTATTGCAGTTACAGGGACTAAGAGAGGGACAAAAAGAAAAAATTTAAAATGAATAGGAGGAGGAGTGGCAGTAAAAATAGTATTTTATTCCCTTGCCCACCCAGTCTGCTTCTCCCTCTCGTTCCCACAGCAACATTAAAAACAAAAAAAAAAAAAAAAAAAAAGAAAAAAAAAGGTTGGGGGGTGTGGGGAGGGGAAATACAGGGTAAAAACAGTCAAATCACAATAGGAAATTTTCAAAATAGGTTATTCAGTTTAGTCGTCTTCATCCCCTTCGTCTTCAGGTTCTCGTTTTCTCTTCTGTCCCCGTTCTTCATCTAGAAAATAAACCACAACTTGAATTATATCAGTGCTCCCTCACGCTGCTGAGGAGTTGAACAAGTTCAACAAGCTTCTACTTTGGCAACTGGCTGGCTATCAAAGGAGCAGGAAGACAAACATGAGCCTGCTTTTTAGAAAATGGTATTTTACTTTTTAAAAAAAATATTATTATTATCTCTAGCAAAAACTGGATTACTGCCGTACCGGGCTCTTCTTCATCTTCATCATCGTCTACCTCACCATCGTTGTAGCCTTCTTCATCCTCCTGGATTAAAAAAAAAAAAAAAAGGAAGGATTAAAAAAGTCGGTTTCAGTGCAGGACCTTTCACAATTTGGTAATATCCAACAGCACTTTACAACAGAGAAAGTCCTTGAAGCATCTTAAACAAAAACCAAACAAAAAGGCAGACGCTTCCCACGCACTTACGTAAGTGCAGTTTTTTGCTACAGTATAACTGGACTCTGGCCCAAGTTTCATTGCAGAAAATCACAACCCATCACAGCAGACACTTCTACCTTCAAGCCTTCAGCGAGAAAATGGTTTTATACCTCACGCTGACACGTAGCTGCAAATTTTGTTACGACGTCTTGAGTTTAGTAAAACTTGACGACTGGTCAGTAGGAGGAGGCACACATTGTAGGGGCAGAGAGAGGTAAAACACAAACAGGCATCTGCGGAGCCTGAGGAGCTGCTGCTGGTTTTGAGAAGAGGCTGACCAACCGTTCCGCAGTGGCAGTGAAGTATCTAAGGTTCTTTGGCTGGAGGACAGATAATATGACCTCCTGCAGTCAAATTTTAGCCCCATTCCCGGCAGTTGTGCTAACAGCAAAGGCTCAGCAGACTGTGACTGGCTCAGCACACCCTACGCGCAGGAGCTGGACTCCACTAAGAATTTAAGCATCCTGAAGAATCCCAAGGAACCTTGCTCCGAGAGCACAGGGTCAGTGAGTCGCGGACCACTCTCTCGTCTGTACGGCGGCTGTAACCCCAGCCCCTCGGAGGCACCACAAACTAGGTCTGCAGACGCTCCTGGTAGTGTTTTTGACATCGGCCCAATAAACAGAATGATTTCATGTCAATGGTCACTAGATGGCAGCTGGCTCATAGACAGGCACGCCTCAAAGCCACCCCCCGCTGTGATGCTTCTCAAGTAAAAAAGAAAGCACAGGCTTCAAGTACTAAAAGCCTCCAATATTCGGTGCATTTCTTGCCCAACTATTCCCAGTTAGAGAATGTTTGCTCCACACTCGTTATTAACTACATAAATCCTTACCTCCTCTTCTCCGCTCACATCCTCCTCTTCTCCTTCCTCCTCTTCCTCCTCGTCTTCTTCATCTTCTACTACCTGAGCGTCATCATCGTACTCCTCTTCTATACAGTCAAAAAAGATTAACCACTCAGACACTTAAAAGTTTACTTTTTTCCAATGCTGCCACCTGACACGTGACCTCCTATCGACACAAGAAGCAAACTGGAAGCATTGCTTAAGGGCAGGACAGAATTCAAGGCAGCTCCAGCTGCTAGGCAGGGCTAGATGTAGTCCTGTGCCTCTTCAGCCTAGTGACAGGGTAGTGTGGCAGCTGCACCCGTGGTCTGAGCTGCTCTGGGGCTGCAGGGGCCTTGACGGTAAGTCACAGCAGCCTCGGGACTGCTTTAGCTTCAGCTGCTCCCGTTCCCACTACCAATAGGCATTTTTGAGCCCATGGGACACTTGCAGCTCTTCATCTGCAAGCGTCCATCTGCTCCCACCAAGGATAGAGCAGAACTTTACAAGCCAACCATGCACTGGGAACCCTCCCCAGGGGACACCCCTTGCCTTTACATTGCCAGAACAAAACAAAAGGGTCACACACGATCCGTCTTCTAGGTTTGCAATCTCTTTTCAAGAGGAAAGAGATTAAATGCAACTAGCCCAAGCAACAAACCAGAAAGAGTTTTTCCATGCTGCGGGAATGGTGTTTTGGAGCTTTTTCATGCATTTGAATGCAGGCCCAGACTTGTGCTCTGATGAGGAGAATCTGTCCCTGCCGAAGCTGGCTGAACGCACGGCTCTGCAGGCACTGCCGCAGCACTCGCCCCTCTCACCAGAGCTCACATTCAGCACTCGAGGCAAAAGTGCAAGTCCAGCTATTCTGCTTTTGCTGTGCAGCTGGGTTTGAAGAGTCTAGCAAATTCCCCCAACTCAGCCAGATACTCATCCGACCGGTACACTGATGCCTCTGAGTGCAGTCTGCCGGGAAGGCAGCAGGGCACATACAGCACAGCGGGACCCACCGTGCATTTTCCTAACATTAAAAAGCTGCTTGCTGCTTCGTTAGTGCCTTTCACAGAGCTCGCCCCAGGCAGACTTCAATACACACACTCTCCTCTCTTCTGCTTGATACCAACTAGTTCACTTTGTCCTCATGGAGCAGCTACAACCTCCTATTAACGCCTTGGCTCCTTTACTTAATTCCTTGACTCAGCTACTTTTTTCTATGCCCAGCCTGGTTCTCCACCCTACCCTTCTCCGTCAGGCTCTACACAACTGCTCATACTTCCCTGATTGTACTGTTCCTGGAAAACTGCAGCGTGTGCATGCCGTCCTTTCTTACCCACTTCTCCCCTATGTCCTCATCCCCTGGGGTTTGCTGTTCCCTGAACTCTTTCAGTGTCTTACTGCTTGTCTTACTTGTCCTGGCCCTTTTCTTCTACCACCCTTTCACTCCCCACCTTTCACTGGAGATAAGACTGAGAAAGTAGCTCTTCCAGGCCCTGCCCATCTCCTCTCCCCTCGTGCCTTCAGAGGACACCGAGATACTTCTGCTTTACATCAGCCGGAAGGAGCTGCTGAGGACACCCTTCTCCTGCCGACAAGCAAGAGCTGGAAGCAAAACGTACCACGCAGCGTATCAACCTTTCAACTTACATACACCAAGCAGCACAAATTCACATACCATCTTCATCTTCCTCCTCGTCGTCTAAGCCCTCCACGTAGCCCTCTGCATCAGAGTCCGGTGCTTCTTTGTCATCCCGATCTTTCACTAGAGATAAGACTGAGAAAGTAGCTCTTTCAGGCCCTGCCCATCTCCTTTCCCCTCGTTCCTTCAGAGGACACTGAGGTACTTCTCCTTTACATCAGTCAGGAAGGAGCTGCTGAGAACACCCTTCTCTTGCCAACAAGTCAGAGCTGGAAGCAAAATGTACTAGGCAGCATATCGATCTTTTAACTTACGTACACTAAGTAGCACAATTCACATACCATCTTCATCTTCCTCCTCGTCGTCTAAGCCCTCCACGTAGCCCTCTGCATCAGAGTCCGGTGCTTCTTTGTCATCCCGATCGTAGCCGTCGAGGTATGTGAGTTGCGGGAGGAGCTTGAATACGTTTTCTCTATAATCATTCAAGTTGGTTACCTCGCAATTGAAAAGATCTAGACTCTTCAGGTTTTCTAACTTTTTCTGCGAAGAAAGAAAAGTCTCTTAAGTTCAGCGTTACAATAATCCTCTACAGAGCAGAGGATGCAACAGCAGCCAGAGTTAATGTGCTCAAGAGCTTCCCATGACAAAAGGGTCATTTTGGTCTCTGCCTACTAAATTGGCGTGGAACAGAAATCTGCAGTGCCTGGCCAGTGCTGCTTTGGTATCTGAGAGTGGAAAATGCTCTCTCTCAAGTTCAGCATCTCGCGAGTAGAAGACTGAAGTTTGGAATGAGGTAACGGTGCAAAATCACACATGCTGCGCGAGGCCAAGCAAAGAATAAATATCAGTCCAATCAGTTATCCCAAAAGCACAAGGCAAGACATGGGAGCCAGCAGTCGGGTATAAAGTACTGCTTTCAGTGGAAGAAGAAACAGACTATGCTTTGGACACAAGAATGTTGCTAAGAGAGACCTGAAAAATTTTAATGATTGTACCTTAGCCTTTCGAAAATGAAAAAAGGCTTAGAAATTGAACAGAAATTCAATTCCTGTTTTAAATTTTTTTTTTTTTTTGAGAAGGAGGCGGTCTGCATTGCCCACAGCACCTTGAAATACTAACAATAAAAGCACAAGCAGTTAAGGATTTGTATCAAGTCTTGTGAAATATCTCCCTTCTGGAGTTTAGCATGTACAGCAACGGTGACATCAAGGAAACAGTAAGCCTGAAACTGGGAGCAGTCACAATCTTCTCTCTCATCTGTTTGCTACGTGAGTTTAATTGCTCTGCTCTCCCCTTCTGCTGGGGGAAAGGAGATCCAAGATGGACTCATCTGAGAACTGCTCCTTGAGACATTTTAAGAGCAAGTATTTGGGAAATAAGCATGAGCCCAAACTCTTCATTTCTGGAGAGCAAAGGGCACACAAACCAAAAACTAGAAAACAGTGCTACCAGAATTGGCACTTGGATGCTTTTTGGAACCGCAACCTGACAAAACCTGAACTCAGCGCTTGACATAAGAAGCGTAATGACCGTGAGTAGGAGAGGTAATGGAAACGAGCAGGCAGAAGCTGGAAGCTCAGCAACCTCTGCCCAGCTGCAGTGAGCAAACCCATTACGGAGGCAGACGGCGCTGCGGCTGGCCCCTGCCACCACCGGCACACGCCGCGTCCCTGGGCAGCAGCGGTGGCTGGTGATTTCAGACCCAACGCTTTGGGGAAAACACAGCGAGCTGAAGCAGAGTGTCTGGCAGACGGACCCGCAGCCCACGCCAGCGTGGAAAGCCGCCGTGCTTCCCGCAGCGCCCGTGGGGAGAGCCCGGCGGCGGCGGAGCCGCAGCCGCTAGAGGGAAGCAGCCGCTCACGCTGCCGGCGTAGCCCCGGGGCACGGCTGCCAGAGAGCCCGGGGCCAGGCCGAGCCAGCCCCGCAGCAACCTGGCCAGAGAGATAAGCACCGAAGACACTCCACTGCAAGCTGCCTGCGACTTTCCAAGCCCAAAATGCCTCTACTCATCACAAAACAGGGTTTGATTTCACCCTGTACCGCATCAACTTACCAGCGGTTCTATTGTACCGAGATCTTTTATTTTGTTGCCGCTTAGATTTAGATGCGTGAGGTTTGGACACTTTTCTGCCAACACTTCCAGTCCTCCTGAGATTCTGTTGTCACTTAGCTCGAGCTAAAAGGCACATAAACAGCTTGAGTTTTTAGTGCAAACATGTATCACAAAGCAGTCTGGTCAGGTAAATTACGTTTTCATACAAACAGCTATTTTACATTCAATATAGCACAAAGAGGGAGGGATATGGCTCAGGACATTCTATTTACCTTCTTAAGTTTGTTTAACTTTGGTAAGTTTGCAACTGAGGTTAAGCCTACGTTGATTGTACTTAAGAATTCCAGCTCTTCAAACTCATCTGTAAGGCCTTCGATTTTGCCTTCGTATGACCTACAGTTGTCAAGAACGAGTTCTTTAACCTGGAAAAAGAGCAAGGCAAAATGTGTATAAAACGTTCTGTGTGGAGGATAAAGATTTCACCTGCAAGCAAAGGACGACAGAGATCAGGCAAAACCAAAAGGTATTCCAGTAAACGGGCAAGTATGCCAAAGGTTATTTTTAGTGTCCGATCCCTGCGTTTGCTGGCTTGCCAGGTCACTGATGTTTCAAAAACACAGATATTTGGCTTTGCTTCAACTGCCCACCTTTGTGTTGTTCTATAAATGGTGTGAACAGCTCAAAAACACGAATCCTGGCCTAACCGGTTTGGTTGTTGGAAGTAACATCGTCTTTGGTATATGCAAGCAATAAACATTCTAAAAAAATATGAAACCCATGTATTTATTTTTAAACTAACCTACACCTTTGACACTCCATACAACTCGTGTGCTATTACAACGTATCATCAGTTGTTGAAATAGCTTCTCTCTGCATGCAAAAATTATTCGAGCCTTTCAAGCGCGGAGAGATTGCTCTCTGCTGAGACACCCCCGAAACCCAACGGCAGGCACCGGCGATCCCAAACCAGGTCTTGCTGGAGCCTACCCTCGCCCCTCCTCATGACAGTAGCTTGGTGGTACTTCAGGGGAAGATCTTCTCCACGGAGGCAGCTCCTTTCTTGGGGAATTACAAGGGATGCGTCAGATGACGCTGGGAGGGGAGGTTCAGCGAGCACGGCTGCTGCTGCAGCGGCGTACCCCTTATCTCCCCTGTCCTGATGCGGCAGGGAGGCTCGAAGGGAGAGGTGAAGATAACGTCCCCGTGGGCCTCAGCAGCGCGGGACCTGCCCGACAGCCAAGGCTGGGCAGCCCCACAGCTGCGTACAGCAAGTTACAGGCTGCAGGGGGTTGCTGGGGTTTTGTTGGTTTGGTTTTTCGTTTGGGTTTTGGTTTGGTTTTTTTTGGGTTTTTTTGTTTTTTTGTTTTTTTTAAATAGAACACCACTCTTTTTGCAGGTGCTATCTTCAACGGACAGAAAACAGCATCCATGCAAAAGAGCCCCTAAATAGGCCCTACTCTGAATAAAACCACTCCTTTTCACCCTAAAGCCAGGTCAAGCTAATGGGATTCGAGTCCCTTAGTAGCCAACCTGAGTTTTCCTGGGCTCTGGGGAAGCTCTGATTCCACAGGAAGGGCCCCCCCATTCGGGAACACCCAGGCGTTTTCACACCCACAGAGAATTTCTGGGGGTTATTCCTCCCCTATGAAATACCCAGGAAAGCCCACCCTCCTGCGTGCACCGCAGACCCCGTCCCGCGGCTGAGGTTTGTTCAGAGGTTTGGCAAGGGAGATGGGGTGCTGCTTTAGGCGGAGGATGGGATAAAACACGTCTGCAAGAGCGGTGTATGCAGAACATGAGGCGACTCTTCAGTTCACACCAAGGACAGTTAATATGCAAATATTTAATTTTCTTAGTTTTTTTTATTACTGTAATCCCGCTGCACAGAGAAGAATCCTATGTAGTTTTATAGCTCCAAATCACATCCCTAGGTTTCTAATTAAATCCCAGGCACTGAAGTCAATAGGGAAGTCAGCCCAAAGCAACACGAGAGTACAAGTGATTCATTGAGAGTAGGAGGATCAGCGTTAGACAGGAAATACATTTTCCAAGAGTCTACAATTTTCCTAGAAGAATTATGATAGGGAATGACTACACAAAAGTCTTCCAGAAGAATTTTAGCCTGGTTAGAAGAAACCAAGGATCAAGTCAAATGCTCCTGATCCCACATACATCTATGCCACTGGGGCGGGGGGGGGGGGGAAACCCAAAACCCCAAACACAAACTACAAAAACCCCTCTTTACTTTGAAATTTGGACAGCAGGAAAGCCATTTCAAAGGCAAACGCACTTATCTTCTTACTGTAACAGTATTTAAGTATCAGGATTCTCCAGAGAGATCAATTTGGGGACAAATACAGAGTTTTCTCAGTCATCTGCTTCACACATACACACAGCTCCCGCCAAAAAAAAAAAAGGAAGAAAAAAAAAAAAGTAAAATAAAAGCAGCTCCACCCCAAACCCAGGCGTACAGCAGCTACATTTCCCCCTATCTGTGTCCTTGCTCACCAGCACACCAGGCCGCTGCCTGCCCTGTTATCTCCCTTGGCCAGCAAGGTGGCTCATCCGAGACGGCACCCACCTACAGACACGTTTCGGAGCAAGGAGGGCAAAGGAGAGAGCTGCGGTGCCGACCGTGCCGCGTTGGCGTACGGCTGGAGAGCCCCAACGTCTTTTTTTTGCTTTATCCTCTTTGCAAAGGAAGGCTGCAGGAGCAGACATAGGAAGATGAAGCAAGGCAGGAGGGAGTTCAGGGAGGGAAAATGCTCGCGGCTGCAGCAGCCAGCACAACTTAGGGTCAGCCCTGGCTTTGAGCTTTGCAGCAGACCAAAGGCACGGGGTGAAGCAGCACCGAAACCTCACACTGAGAAAGAGGGGGCCTCTGCCCTCGACCCCAGGAGGTGGGACAGCCCTTCGTCCTCCCCAGGGGCAGGATGGAGAAGAGGCAAACGGGGAATTGGACAAAGCTTCCTCAGGCATAGAGAGGAGATTTCAGGGGGAGCTGGAAATAGTCACGGATGCAGAAGAAAAACCCTTTAATATGGTGGCAGAAGAGCCAACCAGCTTCTACTTTTAGTTTGCTCTTTTTAACACGAGACTGCTGTTTGCTCTTTACCTTTCAGAAAACTTTGATACAGAACTGCAATGCTCTCTTCTTTGCAGTGCCCAGTACCAAGATACTGGGCAAAGGTACAGTCAAAACAACTCCACGGGGAAGCTATCATGGAATAAAACCGGCCAGGTTTGCAAGCGGTAGAAAGCTTGGAGGAATCGAAGAGCTCATCTGGGAACCAGCAGAGCATAAGCTCCTAACGCTCCAGAAGCGCAACTGCAGCAACGTAATTTCGGTGCTTATGTGGTCAGAGGTGTATTAACACACTGAATCGCTTCTAAAAGAACATGACTGCACAAAATAAAATTCAAGTCAAAATTAAGATGGCTTTATGTTCAAATAGATTCAAGAATCCCGTAGAAAATACACACATGCAAAATGAGGATGAACCAGGCTCGTGGGGCTTCTCCCAACTTCCCTTCCACGTGCACGCTCACTGCTGCATCGTACCCAACTCTCTTGCATACAGTACAAGCAGTAAAAACCGCCACCAGCTTATACAGTTTTTATAAGTATTAAAATTACCCCTCAGCTATTTGCCCACAGCCTCCCAGCCTGCAGTCTTGCGCATCCCGCGCTCCTCCCCTTCCACTCCGACTTGCCATCGCCTCCTTAAGCACCGGCTGTTTTGCCGTTAACCGGAGAGGGCATCGCTCCCCGAGGCCCCTCTGGGTTATTCACAGGGCACTTTTCCAAGGCGCTGGCTGTGGCACAGAGGTCTCCTCTCAAACCTTAGCCCCCTCGTGAGGACGCTGGCCCTCATCCAGGCACACTACAGCCCTGACGAGCGAGCACGTAACTGTGTCAGTGTACGGAGAGGGAGAAGCGGAAAGGTGACCTTAGTGAAGCTACATTCCATCTAAAACAGCTCACTACCACAAAAGTATGACAGAAGGACTAAAAACCTATCCCTCGTCTGTTTTTCAGAAGTCTTTGTAACTTTCAGGAAAATTCCAGCTCCTGAATCACTCTCCAAACATCTACTGAACTTCCCTGAAAACGCACAGTAAGACTACAATTTTTACATTTCTTTCCTTGTGTTCTGTCACCAAAACACAGAATAAACCTTTGCCTGACGAAAGCAGCCTGGGCGAGCACCCCTTCTGAGCCTTGTTATACACCTGAACGAGATGAGCGGGCCTCAGCTGGTCTAAACCGATTTGGTTGTATCACACGGTGGTCTCTGTAATATTACAGACACGCAGATGAGCAGTCACAATCAGGGAGGACAACCTGAACTCGTTTGGAGAGATAGGCTAAGGGAATAAGCGTCCTCAGCTAATTCGTGTTTAGCTGCACCAAAGGCAAGAAGATTCAATGTGCAGGAGTTGTATCGGGTCAACCTTATCACTGTCCATGCCACAACGCATAAGCAAATCAAAGCGCTAATTGGAGTAAGTACTAATACAAGTAAGTACTAGTCCAAGGCAGACCACATGAACTGTACTTATCTTTCCTCCCTCTCCCAAAAAACTGCTACACAGTGAGGAACAGCAGAAGAGCAACATGCCACGGGCAACCAACCACCACAGATAACACCGCAACACTTACCTGAATGGCTAAGGAAACACCCGCAGGTGAACGTCTAGCAGAAAACCTAACAAGCAGGTGGCTAGCTTGGTTCCCGTAGTACACTACCACGTCTTCGATAGCATTTACGATAAGGCACCATCAGGTGCTTGGGTAGGGGCACTGCACATTGCACAGCTTCAGCTGCCGAGCGTTTCTCGCCCAGCCTGCCCTTCCGCCTTGTCCTCTGCGTTCCCGGGCAGCTCAAGGCCCTGCTGCCCCTCGCCCCGTTCATGGGTGCCATCTGCCCGAGCCCGGGCTCCCTGGTGGTTCCTGTACTTCTGCTCAAGCGTTGCTGTGTGGTTTGCTGGTATCAGCCCGTCGTTTTCAGCAGTCGCGCGCAAGCAAGAAGATTGCAGCTTCTCCAACAAGCTCTTCAGACCACACGCCTTGGACCTGTTCTCCTGTGGTCATCCCAGTTTCTATTTCTGATGGTCCCAGACGCTTTCAGCACATGACATCACATCTCCGTTAACGCACGCTGCGCTGTTAACTGTGGATTACTGCATCCCCTGTATCTCTTCATGACTTTCACGACATCACACTCTACATTACTGCCTGCTTGATAACCAGGGACTCTTATCTGTTTCCTAGTATGGTTACTGCATTAAGCTATGTTCCCAAATGCATATATGGTATCCTTAATACAGCCACGGGGTGCACGGCGAGACTCCAACCAAGTCCTAGGGTAAGTACAGGCAACCGTGCGCAAGCAGCCACCGGATCTCATGGGACATGTCACCAGTGACACCTGGGACTGGCTCGCTGTGCACGGTGCCCGGCAGACCTTCCCCGCCTCCCTCTCCCAGTGCAGGCGGCCTCTCTGGAAGGGGCCCTACTCTCCAATTATCAACACGTACACGATCAACAGAATATAATTACACGCAGACAACTATTAAGCCGCACATGTTATCACCTTAACCTTTAATCTACATTTCCATTCTAACAGGTAAAAAGGCAAAGTCTCGACTTCAGAAAGCCTACAACCCATGAGCAGGGAGATCCATGAACTTGGGACTAAGTTCCCAAATCCCCGTCTGTAATTGAAGGCTTAACAAGGTAACAGAAGGACACAGTTGTGAATATAATTTTAAAAGATAAAAGGCAAATTTACAAGTACAAATACCATTCTGCAGGAACAGCAAAGGCTGTAACATCTCATTTTCAGCACAATGGACCAGATGCTTTTGAAGTGTACATTGCACATGGTACCCCTAGGACAGGAATATCCCACTATGTGGCATTTTTAATCAAAAAAAGCAGGTAAAGACGAGGGTGTTAACTCTGTCTTGCACTGCTCCCAAACTAATGATCCAGGGGAGCATTGAGGGAAGTCCTTGGTACCTCTGAGCCCAATGGACATTGCATTTGGAGGAGGGCAGAGCTGTGGAAAGGAGGGAGGGGAGAACAAGGGAAGCCTGTAAGTGGAAGCCAAGTCCAAATTAGTTTTGAAAGCAGAGACAGTTTTATTCTCTCCCAGATGCACCAACATTTCTTCAAGACACCTGGGTTTCTGTCTTCGGGGGTTTTTTGGTCTCAAAAGCCTGCATAGTCCATGCAAAGCCCTGCATTGCTCCACAGCAAAGAACGACCATTGCTGTCTACTGTAACCAGCCTGCCAAGGGTTGTGTCCTAGTTCTTGCACTGTATTCTAGATCTGTGCTCGTGCAGATTTGGGGATCCTTGAGCTGAAATGGATCTCCTTAGGTTTCTATTCCACTCAATTTGTGCAGCAAAGTTTAAGAGAAGCCAGCCCTCCACAGTCACGACGTTCTCATTTCTTGGGGAAGGCGTGGGTTTGACAAGGTTCAAGATAATGCCCAAGTCTTGCAAGCAGCCCATTGCTCACGCTTAGCTCCACAGCGATGGTAAGGATACGATGTTCTCCATGCTCAATTTTACAAGCTTCCCCCAAGATACTACTGGAATGAGTGAAACGTTGTATAATTTCCATTTCAGCTACTATCTGGAACAGGACTAGGTCAAAAAATAGTTGGCCTACTTAATACCTTGGGCTAACGAAGCCGCTCTGAAGGCTCGAAGACACAATGCAACTTCTGCTCTAAGACGGTCACCAAAACATAACCAACCTGAACTGATTTTTTTTTTTTTTTTAAATGAAGATAGCACCACATGCCATTCGCCACCTGCATTCAAGATGGACCTTCAGCCACGCTAGGGCCCCCTGTGATTTAAACAGTCAGCAGAGCGAGGCTGCGCGAAGTTCAGCTCCTGGTGGAAAACAGCAAGAGACAGAGGAGGACAGAATAATCTCTAGCCCAAATTAGAGCAGCTGCTGGGCTGCTGTACACCAATTAAGACACACCTCAAGAGCTGTTCAGCCTTTCCAGGCTTGCCAGAGCGCTGCCCGTTCGGGCCATGCCCGCTCCTGCCTCTGGTGGGCTGCCTGCAGGCAGGGAGGCAGGCAGGTGCCATGGCACCGACTGCGCTAGCTCGGTGCCATGGGGGATTCCCCTTCAGCGGGGCAATCCTCAGCCGCTCCTTCTGGGCATCGTCCGGTGGAGATGCTCGGGGATGAGGATCTAGCCACAAATAGAATGAAATTTAACAGGGAAAGGAAAATTCCCATAGTGTTGACATCCTTTTCCTCCCCCAAGATACACCAGTAAAAAGCAAATCAGAATAAAGCTCACAGACACCAACCGCAGGTGACAACAGTGACGTTTTTTTCCTTGCCAAACCAACGTGATTTTGGATTTTGATACATCCCTTCAAGGCTTTATTATGAGTGTCTGAGACGACATATGTAGATTTGACTCACTTGCAGTACACGTCTCAAACTCGTTAGCCGGTGACCGTTTACCTTGCACAGGCTGTGGTCATTATTGCGGTGGGCAGAGAATCTGCAAATCCAGGGGCAGGGAGAAATGGCGAGAGAACACAAACCACCTCCCTTGAGATAAGGGCAAGACATCGAGCAGCCAGAGTACTTGAGAATCGTATTAGCAGAGGCAGTGACTGAAGGGAAGAGACTGGATGGGATTAATGCATCTACCTTGCAATTTGGACCATTACCGCCATTACGGACACCGGGTACAAGCGCAGAGCCTCACCGCAGCTGAGGACTTCAAAGCAGTTGGGGCTCAAGTTCGCAGGATTTCCCCCAGGCGCCCTCCCCACACCTGAACAAAGGCGTCCCCTCCACCAGCACTCTGCAACTGGCCCCTTCCATCCCAAGCCATTCACAACTGCGGAACAAAACAGCTTCCAGCACAGCCTGGCTCGACGGCAATCTGCTCCGCTTCTAGCCGCTTCGCCTATTCTATACCCATTCGGCAGAGCTGGAACTCCAAATTCGTGCAACGAGGTCATGTGAAACTACTACTGGACCTCAAAATTCATTTAGGGTTTCTCAAAATGACACAACCCCGTCAAACTTTCATATTGGAATCCCCTTCTGCGTCTCTTTCTTGGAAACTCCTACCAATACTTTTCAACACTTCAGAAGCCCAAAATTGAACCTCTGGCATCATGCCGATACAGTTTTGGTGCCTCTCGTATTTTTTACTACAAGCACCGATACACGTGGACAGGCACGGATCCCGATACTGCTGTCTTTGAACTACAATGCCACAGTTGTCATACGGGTTTAACTCCACGTTTGTAAACTATACCCTAGCAAGGCCTTTGTATTTCATTTAGTTGATCTAACAATCAACTGGAATATTTTCTGGGTTGCAGTTCTGCACGGTTCTCAACCCTTAACCATCCAGCACGCTTGAGAAGAGCGCCCGGGGAGAGGAGGGGCTGTGCACCGGCTCCTAAAGTTGGAAGCAGCAAAGTGCCATCAACATGGTACCGAGGCCCCGACAAACGACCGGGAAGGAGAGGTGAAAACCAGGATTTGCTCCAGGCGAGGGTGCAACCAAGGAACTGCATGAAAACATCTGCCGAGAAACCAAGAACAATCCGGCGACAACACGGGCATCTCGGTGGACATCTGTCACAGTCTTTGCTCAAGGATCTTGTTAAATCGCTGTCCCCAAGTTCCAAGTGACACAGTAAAATAGCAGTTTAAAGCCACCTTTTAACCCCCCCTCAAGCTGGGCTCTGTTTATGTTAACTCCCACAAGGATGAGCACAGTCGGTATCCTCTTTTTGCTGGCCACTCTGCACGTATGGGGAACCCTGCATCACCCCTACCCCGGCAAAAGGGAAGGAGCAGGGGAGGAGAGACGGGAAATTTGTGTTGTTTTGTTTGTTTGGTGCTTGTTGTGCATTTAATTTTTTTTTTTTAAATCAAAGCTGCTTTGTGTTCAGAGACAGCTTAAGGCTGCTTGCATAGCTCAGAAAAAATCTGGCTCCGTATCAATACATTTACTTTTTTTACCCTCTAATATTTTACGTAGTGTAGCTATGAACCCTGAAAGCAATACATATGGCTCCAACTAATTTTACGTCCCTTCGCTCTATTCTATGAGAAACTAAAGGTCCAAGTGAAATACATTAAGTGGCAGAAGGCTGAAGAGTCTTGGCAATTCTGACTACATCTTACACTCGTATCTAATTACGAGGCATCTCCAGTACTAAAAATCTTCCAGAAAGAATAATCTACTGTTGTCTTTCTCAACCCCCCCCCAACCAAGAAACCCCATGAGTCACATAAATATACTTTCACACATTTACAAGGGTCAGTACAGCCATATGCATAAGCAACACACTAATTAATAAATCGAGAACACACTTGAGGGACACGGAAAGCTGTTTCATTCAAAAGCATATAGCTAGTTTTCGTTTTTGTTTCTACTGTTAGCAGCATAACTCTGTAAAAACTCCAAATATTTCTTTAGACAGACTGTTTCAAACACGCAAGCGATTAGATTGCTTGATCTTTGCATTAAATGCTTTTTAATATTCACATTAATGTTGCTTGCTTCTCCCCTTTCTACAGATGGTATCACGTAGTGGCAGAGCACTTTGCTCTGCTCCTGGCCGGGGTGAGTGACTCCGCACGGGTCACTTCAGCTCCACGTCTCAGTTTCTCTCGATTTGAGAAAGAGAGCGCCTGATACCACATCCAAAGTGCTTTTCATTGACTGCCAGCTATTATTAAATAAAACAGAAGCCAAACGTAAGATTGCATTGCACCTTTAATTTGAAAATTCTTCAGCTGGAAATTTTAAGCGTTTTGTGTTCAGTTGCACGTACTCCGAACGGCCCTCAGCAACAAAGGACCAATGCGGAGACACACATAAAAAAGAAACACTGCATTTAAATTAAGACTAATTTCAAGAGCTGCATATTTAATAGGAAAAGCAGCCTCTGAAGATGTCAGCTGCTACAGAATGCACTGGCAAATCATACTTGCAAAAGATAAGCTTTTCCTAGCCTTTTTTATGGCTTTGAAGGGAAAGTGTTCGATAGATCGAGTCGATGGACAAACGAGTGCTCAGATAGAGAGCACAACTTTTACACAGTGGCGTAAGGCAAACCACTGAGGCTTTTTTTTTTTTTTTGAAATATTTCAAAGGTCATGCTTACATATGCAAGGGTTTCAGGACCGATTTTAGCAACCTAGTCAAAAAATACAGACTATGTATTTACCAGCTATTTTGTCTGAAGGATAGCAGAGCAAGAGAGGAGACAGGAAAAAATTATAGGCAGAACAAGTCCAGCAGTGTCACATAAAATAGCTGAGGAGCGCCCATCACTCCAAAGCACAACAAAACCATCACTGCTCTCTATTCCCACTTGAGACTCGTACCTCGCCGCAGACACAGAGAGTTTGGTTCACGGAGCTGAGCTGTTTGTCAGTCCAGACCGCTGAAAGCCACCACGCGCTCCCCAAATGGCAAGCCATCCTGGGCCGGTGGCAAGGAGAGGACCTCCCTTCCCGGCACCCCGGGCAAGTCCTGCTCCCTCCCAGACACGGCACTGGGATCCCAGTGGGGGCCTGGGATTCTGGCGTGCAAACCAGAGCTACTCCCATAACCTTCCCTTACTTTTATTGAATTCAAAAAACATTCAAGACATGGCACCCACACATTTCATAGGTCCAGTGCTTTATTTTCAGGCTTCTCCAACTCACCAATACCTGTACCTTTACGGCAGGAGGATGGGGGAGTAATCCACAGAATGAATGGAATGGGAAGAATCAGTCAACGTCAGCCTTATGGGATGCAAATACTTCAGAAAACAGCCACTGATACTCGTGCCACCATTCAATGTACATTTAAAGACACAGCACTGACAGATAATATGGTCTTTTAAATACAACAAAAGAGAAAATATTTTAAAAGTCCTAAATCCCTGCACACGATTAATGGTACCCTGAAACACCCATGAGATTCTGGTGTACATTTAGAGCAGAACAGCAGAAAGGTATGTTCTATTTATTAATATATAACACACAAATCCTGCCGCAGGGATGGATTATAATAGCTAGGCTTAACCCTAGAAGGCTTGTACTAAGAAGCTTTTTTTTTTTCCCCTTGTTTCAACAACTTGTTTCATTTGGTGGGCAGGACAAGAACCCTTGTTTCTTCAGGAGATGCATTTCTTGATGGACTACAACACAATTCCATCAATTAAACCCCAGCTACTTCTCTCAATGTATTTTTATCAAGCCAGTATTTGGACACACACCTGAATCACACAGAAAATTTTGTTAACAGTGACTGCACTTTTCATATTCCTGGTCAAAAGGGAATTCTCAGGAGTTGAGGGTTAAAAAAAAAACAAACAAACACCTACCGTTGCTACTTTCTAGCAGTATCACAAAGAAATGGGAAAATTAGGCAACCAGTTCTAGATCCATATACCGGTGTTTTTCAATTCTACGTTCATAGCTCCTTTCATATGCTTAAAGCTTGGTCCAGGTTAAGAGAAGAGAATTTGCCCAACACCTCCCTGGTCAGCCCAGTCGTCAGCTGTGAAACTAGTCTAAATTTCAGTGAGGACAGCTCACACATCGCACCCGTCCTCCAACCTGACGTTTGTGGGCTGCAGTCCCTCCAAGATGAGCATCCATCCATCCAGAGGATACTCATTGTAGAGGTTTGCATCTGGAAATTCAGAGCCGTGAAAACCAGCTGTTACGCAAACTTGGGAAGTCTGCAAAAAAGACAGCTACTACTTTGTACGTTTACACCCTGCTGTCAGCTACATAAGTGGTTAAAGTGACACAAGTCTGCAAAAACCCGTGATAATCTGCACATGCCGCACAGAGCCTGTGCATGATCTCCTGCCACCCCTGATGCAACCGTATCCCACCTTGTTTCAAACCTAGCAGGCATCCCCTTCCCATTTTGAGGTTGTTCAGCCTGCGGAAAGGAAAAAAGTATGTATCTGCACCCATACACAAGACCCAAATATTTTTTTAAATGCAGGTCTTTAAAGTGACATGTATCACTTCAAACTCTTTACTGTTGTTGCAAGTATCACAACATGGAACTAGCTTGGGGAAAAGAGCCTTTTTACTTATATTCTTCATTTGAAAGAACACTTTGGATAGATGCTTGCACCATACTTCCCTTCAGTGTTAAAATCTACAGGAAACCAGAGAGAAATCAGACTGTCAAACAAGTTTTAAAGTGCAACAGAGTTGGAAGAACTGTAAGAAATACTCAGTGTTGCAGTCAGTATTTTATCACTGTCACAATTTTGAGCTGATAAAGCACTAAATCCTCAGACTAAATGAACTGGTGGGGTAGCGCTAAACCAGAGAAAATGAGTTTTGTGCATAATTTCCAAAACCTACCTCTGTGTCACACAACTGAGAAGAGCCTTAGTACTGAGCTTGTTTCACAGTCTTGGCATTTTACTCGTGAGTTTACGACGGGCATCGAACAAGAGCGCCCACAAACACGCCTAGGTGAGCACCCCCTCTGCCAGGTCAGTAGTTACACCGCTACCGGCTGATGGCTCTGGAGGAAACCCACGTAAAATAACTGTACCTGGCCAATTTCTATTATAATAGGAAACCACGTTGATAAGATAAGCAAAGTGACAAAGGCTACGGCAAGTGCACTACCGTAAGCGACCATTAAATGTAATGGGATAAAGAGTTGAAATACCTGGGC